ATCATCTCTGAAGCTTAATAGTGATAAATTTCATGAGGATGCCCTCAGATGTGGAAATAGCCCCCATAACACATTCTGAGAGGTTAGCTGGACTTGGCAACACACATGAAAATACAAGAAATGCAGGGGAATAGAGACTTTTCAAGCCTATGAGAAGCCTTTATCTCAAGGCTATGAGAAGCCTGTGACTGCCTAAGAAAAATGACAAATGTCAATACTTCTCTCATCAAGAAAGAGGACATAGCAAAAGTCTAAGGACACACACACAAAGGAAGAAAGCAGAATTAACATTTTAAAATCTGGAAAGCATGTATGTTGTTTAAATGGAACTATGGAGGGTTGGGCTTGGTGGCTCATGCATGTAATTTTAGCACTTTGAGAGGCCAAGGCAAGAGGATCACTTGAGGCCGTGAGTTTGAAACCAGCCTAAGCAACACAGCATGAACTCATCTCTACCAAAAATTAAAAAGAAAAAATTAGCCAGTAGTGATGGTCTCTGTCTCTAAAAGAAATAAGGACATTCACAGTGGCTCATGCCATAATCCTAAACACTTGGGTAGCCTAGGTAGGAGGATCACTTGAGCTCAGGAGCTCCAGACCAGCCTGAGTAAGAGCAAGACTCCGTCTTTACTAAAGACAGAAAAACTATTTTTCAGGCACTTGTAGTTCCAGCTACTCAGGAGGGTGAGGCAGGAAAATCTCTTGAGCCCAAGGATTGAAGGTTGCTATGAGCTAGGCTGAGCCTCAGCACTCTAGGCCAGGCAACAGAGGAGTAAGACTCTATATTTAAATAAATTAATTAATTGGCTTGGCGCCTGTAGCTTAGCGGTTAGGGTGCTGGCCACATGCACCAGGGCTGGGGGGTTCAAACCTGGCCCACGTCTGCTAAACAAACAAACAAACAAACAAAAAATAGCCAGGCATTCTGGCAGGCACCTGTCCCAGCTACTCAGGAGACTGAGGCAAGAAAATCACTTGAGCCCAAGAGTTTGAGGATACTGTGAGCTGTGATGCCACGCTACTCTACCAAGGGTGACATAGTGAGACTCTATCTCAAAAATAAATAAATAAATAAAAATAAAAAATAAATAAGGAAAAAAATAAACAGAACTATGGAGAGATAAAATGTTCAGATTTTATTGAGCCCAGAGGATTTGGGCAAGACCAAGAAAATGTACTTACTAAATAACATGAAAGTACAAGTCACTTTCGTATGCTTTTCATCACACTCATATGCTTTGCCCTAGAATAACAGCTCAAAAGCAATGCTAACTAACCTAACTTACTGTCTCTGGTTCCAACACACAATGATTGAACATTAATATATGCTGCTACTAGAGAAACAGAGGACAGTGTCCATAAAATGGGCCCTGCACTGGAAGAGTTTATAATCTGCTGGAGATGGGGAGGCCACATCCACAAACTTAAACATTATAAGGCTGAAAATGCTAACTGACAGTAGCAGAACAATTGCTTGTGAAGATGGCGAGGCTAAAACAAGCGGAAAGACAGTAGGAGATAATATAAATGAAAACACCCAGGAGTATAGCACAGGATGCTTAATGATAGCTGAATTCAAAGTCTGGATGCCACATGTAGGTAACAGGTAGCATCAACACAAAATTTATGGTCCAAACAAGCATTCTGCAAGTAAGAGGCACACTAAGACTAACACTAATTAACAGCAAGTAAAGTAACTGAAACAGGCATAGAGCAGAACATTGCATTGCAGGCAGACTGTCGCACAAGCAACAGGGAGCCAACTGGATACATATTGCTGGATTCAGGTGATGGCATTGAGAACAGAATGACAGGGGTAAAATGTAGGACTCAGGTGATTAAATGTGGTAGGAAAATGAAAACTCTAGGTTCATACTCCTTCATAAAAAATGTTAAATTTAGAGGGGAAGTTTGCAGGAATCACTAATAAGCTTAAATTTAAAGATGGGACAATGAAGTGGCAGACATGGGACTAGAGCTGACAGCAGGCATTTCAAATAACATGAAGAAATGTATTATGTGGAGTTAGGGAGCTAGATTAGTAACAACCAAGAGATAATCCCATTATTATATTCTCATCTGAAGTTTTATCAATTCTCATATTCTTCTTCAATTTTCTTTACTTAACAATCATTGAGCCCTCCCAACTTACCATTTGGCCTGCCAAATCTCGAAGGGCTTATAATTCTATTCAATTACTAAATTAAAACTCTCTGGCATTTCTTATGTATTTGAAGACACATTATATTTACTTTAAAAATCTCCCTATTTTTGGCTCAATGCCTGTAGCACAGTGGTTACAGTGTCAGCCACATACACTGAGGGTGTCAGGTTTGAGCCCAGCCTAGGTCAGCTAAACAGCAATGACAACTGCAACAAAAAAAATAGCCAGCCATTGTGGTGGCTGCCTATAGTCCCAGCTACTTGGGAGGCTAAGGTAAGAGAATCGCTTAAGCTAAGGTGACCAGATTTTAACATGGTCCTGACAACAATGCAAACTTTAATAAGCAGTTCTCAACAATTATTTGTTATTATTAAAGTTTAACATTATAAAATTAACAAAAATAATATAAAACCCATATCCTGGTGAAATAGCCATATGGCAGCCTATATTCCCTTCCTGTTCTCCCACATTCCCTAGCTTGTTGTGCATTCTTTCCAAAAATCGGAGTTTTTTAAAATGCTGCAGGACGAAATGTTAAAAATCAGGACTGTCCCGCCAAAAGTCGGACGTCTGGTCACCTTACTCTGGGGTGCGGGGGCTACGTGTTTGTTCCAGATAGTTTGGCTCCTTCTGAGCTAATTGTCCTTGCCTAGAAGTAAGGGAGGGAGCAGTCTCCTTCTGATACCCATTCCACCTGGGCGACCTTGCCCAAGAGGGGAGTAGGGAGTTTACATTAGCCTTTTCATTTCCAAATGAAGTTACGTAAACCTCTTCATTCATTCCCAAATGGAGTTACATTAACCTTTTTAGCAGTGGAAAACCATATATTCCCTTCCCATTCTCCTGCTGTTCCCTAGCTTGTCCTGCATTCTTTCCAAAAATTGGGATTTTTTTAAAATGCCGCGGGACTTGGGACAAATTGTTAAAAATCGGACTGTCCCCCCAAAAGTGGGATGTCTGGTCACCTTAGCTTAAGCCCAAGAGTTTGAAGTTGTTGTGAGCTGTGACGCCACAGAACTCTACCCAGGGCTAAATGGGAAGATTCTGTCTCAAAAAAAAAAAAAAAAAGGAAAAAAACTCCCCATTTTACATCTTATAGTTAAGCACTGAACTAGACAATAGGAAAAAAATGGGAATATGATACCCCTCCCCACAAATATTCTTTTTATTTTTGGCTAATGGGGTGTTTTTAAATGCTTTGACTGCTTTCTCAGAAAAAATTATCTGTTGCATGCAACTGAAGCACCCAGCAAAGGAGAAAAAATAATACTTTTACACAACTGGATGTGAAAATATGCAAGTGAAGAAAGTACTGAGGTTTTCCTCCCAGTTAAGTGTATGAGGAAGAAAAATGTAGATAGATAAACATATAAGCACAAGGAAGCTTTACACTCAGGTAAGCTAGGGTCAAAGAGAACAATGGGGTCTCAACCTTGCCCAACACTGCTTCTCCCCCAGAATAGTCCTAGAAAAGTTGCTACAAAAACCGAACCAGTGCACTGGTTAGGCTGAACAGTTAACTCCATCCTCTTCAGCTGATGAGGAGGGGTAAAAAATGGAATAAGTAGCAATTTTCTGCATTCTACACAGGGGATTGTTTCAGCCTTTCCTTGGCTCATAAGAAGATAGTCCAGGCACGGTGGCTCACACCTGTAATTCCAGCACTTTGGGAGGCTGAGGTAGGCGGATGGCTTGAGGCCAGGAGTTTGAGACCAGCCTGAGCAACAGAATGAGACTCCTTAAGTACAGAAAAAAAAATTAGTTAGGCATAGAGTTAGGCATACTCTAAAGACTAATGCAGGAGAACCACTCGAATCCAGAAGTTTAAGGTTGCTGTGAGCTATGATGATGCCTGCACTCTAGCCTGGGCAACAACGGAGACCTTGTCTCAAAAAACAAAAACAAACAATAAAAAATGAAAATGTAAGTACCATATAAGCTTTACACACAGGTTCAAATAAGCATCTGTTAGGAGTGATTTTCCAAGTTTCATACTCTGTTGAGACCATTAATACTCTGTATTGTAAGTGTAAAGGCTAAACCTAATTCAATGGATTGAGGCACTGCTCTCTATTAGAAGAGCTTCAGAAAGTTAATTGTCCCTATTCTCATCCCATTAGCATCACAGCATAGACTGATGACACTAAACAAATAGTAGAAACTTCATGTAGCCTAATATGGGAAACTTGCTTACTTTGAGATTTTACATTAATACAAGAAGAGAACAAGACAGAATTAAAAATATTCTGTCCTCAAAACACATTGAGGACACTCCCTATTTCTGTCTCAATATTAAAAGAAAACATACAACTGGGCTTTGTATCTTTACTGCACTTTAAACTCTGCCTGCCTTAAGTCTGTATTAGAGAAAGCAAAGCCTGGCACTTAAGAAAAAAGGTTCAGGCAAATTAGAATTTAAAGAAAACAAGTAGAATGCTTTCCAGCACCTTCATCATGCCTCCCCCAAGTGCTAGCCCACTCTGCTGAGAATGTCTCAAGTATAGAAAGAGGTATGAAATGTCTCAAGTATAGAAAGAGGTACAGCTAAGTGAGACTCTCTGAGCCTCTTGGCAACACTAGCTGGGTTTATACTCAGAAAATAATTGAGTCACGCCCTAGTGAAGAATCAATTTTATGACTAAGAATGTCAATGGCTACGTTTACTTCACAAAAAAACAAACAAAAAAAAACCCCAGTTGTTAGTATTAGGGCAACCTTCTTAGTTAAAGGACTATTCACACCAAAGCCTTTTTATCCTCTCAAGGGGTACCAAGAACCAGCCAAGAAAGGAAAATTTGAGAAACTTTCCCAACAAAAACAATTCAGGGATAAGGGGTTCAATGTGCAAAGTCTTTTATTTAAAATTTTGAAAAGTTAAGAGTTATGACCACCTCAGTATATGCCATTCCCATTATAAGGAGGTATGACAGTTTCAGACTCGTGCAGAGCTGTGTTTTCACTTACAGAGCTCTGTAGGCACTTTAAAAGTGAAGCTTGGCTTCAAAATACAAACACTGGGGGCTTTGGCTCAATCTTTTAATATAAAAAATTCACTGATGTACAAAAATGCGAAAGTGTGACAATGACAACTATGAAATCCTGTGATTCAAAGTCCCCTCAAGGGCACCCCATGGTGCACATGCACCCGCCCACACATACTTGGCGTGGAAACAGAAACTAATGCAAACCAGTGCTACCAAGAAGCGCCGACGTGTGTGTTCTCCACTCCACCAACCACAGACCAATATCTACTCCAAACATTCAGTAACAAAAAGAATGGCGTCTTCCCAGGAACAGCAAAGCAGACTTCTTACTCACGATGGACCAGCACAAATAAACCCAGCAAAAAGAGTACTGCATACTAGAAAATAAACAGAACTACAGTCAGGAAAGCTTTTAAAGTTCACAAGTCCTCAGAGTTAATTAACAAACTGGCCTTTTTAACCATAATGAGTTACTAAACCATCCAATTATTCTTTCGTCTTTTAACTATAATCCATTTAATAGTTTCCAAATTAAGCAAAATTTCACACTTTTAATGAAACATATAGTGTAGGCTCTTACCTTAAATTTGGGATAGTCATTCATGAGGATTGTCACAATTCCAATATAAGGAACAAATCTAAAATAAACAAACATCACAAAACTTCCTAAGATTCTATTATTGTTCACTGAACATATCAGTATCTTCCACAGAATACTAATTTTCAGTTCACAAAGCCCATTTCTATATATTGCACTTTTTGATCCTTTCAACAGCCCATGTGATAGGGACAATAGGAATATCACCATTTTAGAGATGATGAAACAGATGATCATGCCCAAAGGTACAGGCCCCACCAGCAGATCCAAGGTCCTAGATCTCTAGCCGTGACACTAATGCCACACCCTCCTGGAGCTGTCAATTTAGTTGGGGAGACAAGGCAAATACATCCAGAACATTATAAGGTATTTCATGCTAAGTGGCCAAAAAGTGAGAAGAGCTCTATTACAGTATGTAGGATTCACCCACATCTAATATTTTAACTATCTGTAATCTGGGATTAGCCCTCTTAATCCTGCAACTTCTCTATAACAGTTTTAATCACCATATGCAGCAAACCAGTCTCAGCCCCCATCTTCCTTTACATCTCTGCAGCATTTAACTTTGATGACCACAAGTTTGCTCTTGAAACTCCTTCTCTTGGCTTCCGTAACATACCACAAATCTGTTTCTTCACCTACCTCTTTGACTGCTACACCTTTTCTCCACTACCTCTTTCTTTCCCTTTGCCTCTAAAGTCTGTCCCTTCAAGCTAGGCAAAAATCACCTGTTAAATAATCTTTTTTTTTTAAGAGACAGAGTCTTACTTTATCGCCCTCAATAGAGTGTTGTAGCATCACACCTCACAGCAACCTCCAACTCCTGGGCTTAAGCAATTCTCTTGCCTCAGCCTCCTGAGTAGCTGCGACTACAGGCACCCGCCACAACACCCAGCTATTTTTTTGTTGCAGTTTGTTGCAGTTTAGCCAGGGCTGGGTTCGAACCTGTCACCTTTGGTATATAGGGCCGGCGCCCCACCCACTGAGTCACAGGCACCGCCCCTGTTAAATAATTTCATATCACCTGATCTACTTCCACTGAGGTCTTTATCATAATAACTATCATAATTTAAATTGAACAATTAGTTTAAACTAGCTATATAGGCTCAGTACCTGTGGCTCAAGTGGCTAAGGGGCCAGCCACATACACCTGAGCTGGCAGATTAGAATCCAGCCTGGGGCCTGCCAAACAACAATGATGGCTGTAACCAAAAAATAGCTGGGCATTGTGGTAGGCGCCTGTTGTCCTAGCTACTTGGGAGGCGGAGGCAGGAGACTTGCTTGAGCCCAGGAGTTAGAGGCTGCTGTGAGCTGTGATGCCACAGCATTCTACCCAGAGCGACAGCTTGAGGCTCTGTTTCCCAGAAAAAAAAAAAAGGAAAGAAAAAGAAACTAGCTGTATAGTATCCCTCTCCCATACTATACTCTTAAGTTTTGTAAGGGCAACAACCATGCTAATCTTAGTCCCCCCTGTATCCTCATGGTGCCTTGTACACAGCAGATATCCAGTAAATACTGCCTCATTGAATGTTTGAATCACACCTCTTCTTTTTGCTTTCTGATGGGGAAATCTCATTTTTTCTTAGGGCTCCATGCAAATGACTCCTTTCAACATCCTAAGAATTCAGGGAAGAAAGAGAAAACTAGCAGGGTACCATCAACGTGGCAGGGTAACGTAGTTACCAAATGTACAATTTTCTTTTTTCCTCTTATACTACTGGACTTCAGAGCAGATGGGCAATAATGTACTAAGCTAGAGCCTGTCATAGAGAAGGTAGGTTGGGCTGAAGTGAAGGATGACCTTTGCACACTTTAAAGTAGCCCTTTTATTCAAAACACCCCATAACCTTTGCACCATGCCAAAGGCAGCACAAATAGAACTTACCTCCCACGTAACACTTCCACTGTCAAAGCTTTAAAGCAAATTTGAACTGACATTCTGTCTTTGGTACATTTTACTTCCTTTTAAGAACTCCCCTTATTTCCTGTCTCCTGTCCTCACCTCTTCCTGCCTCTCTCCCTTCTGGCAGCATTACCCCAACCTGTCTCTCTCACCCCAACTCATAACTCCCATTCCATACATTGGTGTTCCTTAAAGCATAGACCTTCTTTGTTAGAATAAGTTAGATGGTCTGTTAAAAATACAGATTTTTATGTCCTCCCGGATTTACTGAGTCAGAGAATCTCTGAAAGGTGAAGCTTAACTGATGTTCCTGCACACTAAAGTTCAAGAAGCACAGTTCTAGTGTGAGATGCCTGGAATATGTGTTCAGTGGCAAACAGCATCCACTCTTAGGACCCATGCTTTAGTCTCAAACCCTGGGACCTCTAAGACCTGAAAAGTAATAGTCATTACAAAATGGCATTGCTAAGTTCTAAGAAGGATGGATAGAGGTTTAAAAGTTTTGTATATTTTAATATACATATTTTTTCTTTTCTTTTTGAGACAGAGCCTCAAGCTGTCACCCTGGGTAGAGTGCAATGACATCACAGCTCACAGCAACCTCCAACCCCTGGGCTCAAGCAAGTCTCCTACCTCAGCCTCCCAAGTAGCTGGGACCACAGGCACCCGCCACAACGCCCAGCTATTTTTTGGTTGCAGCCATCACTGTTGTTTGGCGGCCCGAGCTGGATTTGAACCTGCCACCTTAGGTGTATGTGGCTGGCGTCTTAGCCACTTGAGCCACAGGTGCCGAGCCTACATATTTTTTCTTGCTTAATACAATAACATTTCTTTTGACTCATTTTTAACATGTTCATAAAAGCGATCACTTTTGGTAAAGGTAAATCAGCTATTTAAGAACATAAAGGTGGGAGGCGCCTGTGGCTCAGTGAGTAGGGCGCCGGCCCCATATACCGAGGGTGGCGGGTTCAAGCCCAGCCCCAGCCAAACTGCAACAAAAAATAGCCGGGCGTTGTGGCGGGCGCCTGTAGTCCCAGCTACTTGGGAGGCTGAGGCAGAAGAATCGCCTAAGCCCAGGAGTTGGAGGTTGCTGGAGCGACTCCGCTGCACTCTACCGAGGGCGAAAAAGTGAGACTGTCTCTACAAAAAAAAAAAAAAAAAAAAACATAAAGGCAAGTTCCTCTCAGTAAAAAGCAGATTATGAGTTAGAAAAACATCTGTGTTTTCTTTTAAAACATAAGCTGCTAATGCTGATCTGATGATCAATAAGCAGCCATTCTCACATGTGGAGACTCTCCTTGTTACCTCCATGTAATATGTAACAAGAACCACAACCTTTGGCTCCCAGCAGCCACTCATAGTCTGCTTACAGTAATCCATGGAAACATTCTTATAGTTGTCTTTTCCTAGCCCACTATAAGTGAAATGAAAGCAACTTGATCTTTAAAAGTAATATAAGCAAGGCATAAGGTTGCCAGCACAGGATGAGACAGTCCAAAGTCAGACAGAATACGTACTCATCTGTGCTGCTGCTTCCCTGCGAGACAGTGACAGCAAAGAGTTGATAACCAGGCACATAATCCTGCTACCATCATTCATCTTAAATTCAAATCAGTTGTACTTTTTTCCTATTCTGGTCAGATAAATTCATACATTGAATATGAATATGCTAAAGCAGTTATTAATAAGGGCAATGAGACCTAAAGTAAGTAAATACCATTTACAAAACCAACTTCAATACCAACCATGCCAAATTAACATCCAGAAGGTAAAATACATTTCCTATGTATTTACCTAGACCAGTGGTGCAACCTTCCTAATGCTGCAACCTTTTAATATAGTTCCCTTGGGTCACAACCCACAGATTGAGAACCACTGACCTAGACAGTAAAACGCATTTGCTATAGTTAAATACATTTCCCTGGGAATTCTTGGGATCAAAAGTGCTGCTGAGAAAACAGCCTCAGAAAAAAGATCTAGTGACGTTTTGTGAGGAAATGAACAGAGATCATTAGCAAAAGGCCAAAAACAGTAAAGAAAAGATGCCACAAAAATTAACAGACTTCAGGATAATTGTGTCAGATGTCAAAAGGGGTCTATATCTGGGAAGTATGGACAAAGAAGCCAACTTTTTAAAAAGGTAACATGTGGCCGGATGCAGTGGCTTACACCTGTAATCCCAGTACTTTGGAGGCCAAGGCAGGAGGACTACTTGAGGCCAGGAACTCAAGACCATTCTGGGCAACATAGAGCGACCCTGTCTCCAACAAAAACTAGAAAAATTAGCCAGCCATGGTAGGGCATGCCTGTAGTCCCAGCTACCTGAGTCTGGGGTGGGAGAATCACTTGAGCCCAGAAGTGCAAGGCTACAGTGATCTATGATTAGCCACTGCACTTTAGCCTGAGATGCTGTCATCAAAAAACAAAAGTACACAGGCTGGTTCAGCCCCTGTGCTCAGCGATTAGGGCACCAGCCACATACACCAAAGGTGGCAGGTTCAAGCCCAGGCTGGGCCTGCCAAACAACGACAACTACAACCAAAAAATAGCCAGGCGGGCATCTATAGTCCCAGGTACTTGGGAGGTTGAGGCAAGAGAATCACTTAAGCCCAAGAGTTAGAGGTTGCTGTGAGCTGTGTGACACCACAGCACTCTACCAAGGGCGACAAAGTGAGACTCTGTCTCCAAAAAAAAAAAAAAAAAAACAATTGGCAGGCACTATGACAGATGCCTATAGTCCCAGCTACTTGGGAGGCTGAGGCAAGAGAATTACTTGAGCCTAAGAGTTTGAGGTTACTGTGAGCTCTGATGCCAAAGCACCCTACCAATGATGACAAAGTAAGACAATGTCCAAAAAAAAAAAAAAAGCACTGAATTGTACCCTTTAATATGGTGAATTTCATCACAATGAAAAATTTTTTTAATCGTTGTAATTTACAGCCTTAGGCCTCAGTGTAAATTTACTATGTACAGCTATTCAAAAAACTCCAAAACAAAACATTTTTGAAAATATATAAAGGCGGCTCAGCACCTATAATTCAGTGCCTAGCGTGCCACCTACATATACCAGGGCTGGCAGGTTCGAATCCAGTCCAGACGTGCCAAACAACAATGGCAACTACAACAAAAAAATAGCC